AGACATGCCCAGCTCTTTCCTCATTTTGGGGTTCAGTATTTCAGTCTCTTTCAGCCGTTACTTCTATAGATATAGCACCATCACCCATTATTTGCCTGTTTGGCGTGACGCTGGATAATTATGCATTACCCACTTACCTTTTAAACTTTGTGGCCTTTCTTACTCTGCTTGCTAGGCGTGTCATTTTATTATACTGGAAGAACCCTCAGCCACCCTTGCATATACGGTGACTGAAAGATGTTTTGCATTTTATAAAACTAGAGAAGATTAGATATTCCCTTTAAAGACCTAAAAGAACATTTGCCAAAATTTTGGATGCCCTTTCTTCCTATGTTAAAACTCTACAGCTGGCTCTAGACTGATCACCTCAGCTTTTGACCATAATAATACATCAGTTTCTAATCGTTCATTTCTCGAAATGTAACATTTGAGATTATTGTATAAATGTAGACATCTGCCTCGCATTATTTGTATAATTTGGTTTTATTTTATTGTTATCTTCCTTGTTTTATTAATTAATTAATTAATTAATTTACTTTCTTTTTTATCAATATGTTATTTGTATTAATATATATGTTTTCTATTATTATGTCTATAAGGGTTGTTTGATATGTTTGTAAAATAGAAAAATGTTAAACAAATCATAAACAAAAAAAAATATTGAACACATGAAGAAAAGGAGGTGTTGAAAGACATGGAAAGCCCAGACAGCAGCTGAAATCACTTAGTAGTTATTTATATTTACTTAAATACAGACACAAATAATCAGAGCAGCAGCATATAAAATGTGACAACATTCGTTCACTCATTTTCTTTTTGGCTTGGTTCCTTTACTAATCAGGGATCGCCACAGCGGAATGAACCACCAACTTATCCAGCACATCCAGCATACAAACACTACACTAATTTTAGCTTACCCAATTCACCTATAGCACATGGTGCCCTTGTGGGGGAAGCCGGAGCACCCGGAGGAAACCCACGCAAACACGGGGAGAACATGCAAACTCCACACAGAAATGCCAACTGACCCAGCCGAGGCTCAAACCAGCGACCTTCTTGCTTTGAGGCGATTGTGCTACCCACTGCGCCACCGTGTCGCTCCAACGTGACAACATTTCAGAAGAATTTCTGGAAAGGTTTCTCTAAACTATGTCTGCTCCGACTTTGCAACTGAAATGATTGCACAAATGGATGGCTATAACAATCTTATTAAAAGCCGCCTTACTTTTCATTGTTAAGTGAAGAGGCCTATTTAAAAACGATACGGCGTAATCCCTCCTGAAGAAACACATTCACTGCATTAGTTTCCCATGAATAAACATTAAACAAAACACGCTTTTCACCGAGAGAAGCTCCGTCCGTCTATGAAAAGTCGTCTGGTAAGAAGCGTTTCATGACCTTTGACAACTCGATCTGTGTGGGTCTATTAGCCGCTTTTGTAAAAGCATTTTCAGCGGTCTGATATACTCGAAAATGAGGCCAATAGCTTCTCTCACGGCTCTTTTAGAACAATAGTGCCTCTGATCTACGACTTTTGGGCCTGGTGGTCCATTCACAGGCAGAAAGTATGCGTTTAGCCCTTGACGGCTTTTGTGGAGCCTAGTTAGCAAGCGTGAAATGGCCTGATTCTCCATTCTTAAGCAGGCTCAATGATCAGCCATTCTTTCCTCAGGACAAAACCTGCTTCATTTGCACTTCAGCTGTCGCGACTCCACGGTTCTTAAACAAGGGCAGAAAACATCTGGTGTGCAGCAAAAAAGAGACGGCGGGCTTTAGTTCGGGGCGTGAGGGGTTGAGGCTGAAGTCTGGATGCTTTTTGAGGTTTGGACTCAATTGGATTGTCAAGCTTCAAACATCACCTGCATATCTGATGCATATCAATGCAACACACACACACACACACACACACACACACACACACACACACACACACACACACACACACACACACACACACACACACACACACACACACACACACAATAGCTATGCTCTGTCAGTTTATGTGGAATATTCAATTCAATTCACCTTTATTTCTATAGCGCTTTTACAATGTAAATTGTCTCAAAGCAGCTTCACATAGAAGATTACAGTGAATTGAAACAGTGTAGTTCAGTTCTCAGTGTGTACAGTTTTTCTCGATTGCTTGGATGCAGTTGTCAACTGAAACTCCACATTTTCAGAACAGTTAACACACAGGCCTAAACAGCGGCACTCATGGTCAAAATGACACATTTTGCTTGCAAAAGGCTCATATCGTGTCAAAACATTTAACATATGCAACAAAAGCTAGTTTTACCTTCAAACTACACAACTTGCAAACAAGTATATGAGCTCTTTCAGCTAATCATTACACAATGGACAACAAAATATGCACCAATGCACCACCATTGCTTGCCATTGTAGCTTATAGCCAATGTCATTTGTTGTCTCTATTTGGGCTGTCAAATTCGCCTTTTTGTAAAGAATTGGATCAAGAATAAGATGTGCTTTGATTGAATATATATTGAATTCATGACATTTTTCAAACTGTGGCTGAAAACTGAAATACTGTATATAAAAAAAACAGATAAAAGTAATAAAATACTGTAAATATTAGAGAAAACACATGTAAACTAATATACAGTCAAATCTATTGGGAGTATAGGACATAGCCATATTGACCTCCTCCATCAATGCTGGCACAGAACAACACAGACCTTCCATCGTTTATATAAGGTTTGCAGAATGATGGCTAATTGAAGATTTGTGTGAAGGAGTGTCAAACCGGTGCTTCAGTGATTTCATACTGATGTTGGTAGTTTTTAATAGTTAGGAATAGATGGATTCTGTTTGGTTACCAAAACTAAAACAATGGAGTTTGGACTGCTTGAATGACATCTGTGTTAACTGTTTGGAAAAATGGTGGGGAAAATGTGTCAACCCAATGAGAAAGGCTTTACACATTTGCAAGACCGGTCCTCTGCTCTGCTAGGATAGTGATAATGAAAATGAAGAGGAACCTAGTTTCTTTAACCAGGTCAAAGCAAACAAGAAAAACTGTAAGTTCAGTTCAGTTTAGTTCAGTTCAGTGTAGGGCTGCTCGATTTTGGGAAAAATCATAATCACGATTATTTTGGTCATAATTGTAATCACAATTATTCAAAACGATTATTAGTTGTAGTCAACATTATTAGCTCTCCTGAGAATAATTTTTTTAAAGGAATATTTCCCAAATTATGTTTAACAGAACAAGGAATTTTAACAGTATTTCCTCCAATATTTTTTTTTTCTTCTGGAGAAAGGGTTATTTGTTTTGTTTTGGCTAGAATAAAAGCAGATTTAAATATTTTGAAACCTCTTTTAAGGTCAATATTATTAGCCCCCTTAGGCAATATATATTTTTGATTGTCTGCAGATGAAACTACTGTTATACAATGAACTGCCTAATTACAGTTCAGTTTCCTTTATTTATGTCATTCAAATCATCACAATAGAATTGTAATGCAGAAGTCGTAGTCGCTTCAATCACACTTTGAATTTGAATGCTTGTATTAAAAAAATATCTAGTCTAATATTATGTGCTGTCATCATAGCAAAGATAAAATAAATCAGTAATTAGAAATGAGTTATTAAAACTATTATGTTTAGATATGTGTTGAAAAAAAATCTTCTTTCCATTAAACAGAAATTGGGGGAAAAAGGTTGCTAATATTCAGGAGGACTAATAATTCTGACTTCGACTGTATATATACAGTTATTTTCCACCCTGCAAAGGAAAGAGAAATAAATACAATAGAAAAAAAATACGAAACAAACTGTGCTTTAAGCATCTTCACTGTAAGAAAAACACTATAGCTACAAAAGTCTTCAGTCAAGACCACTGAGGGATTTTCTCGTTGTTTTATTAATAATGATTTAAAAAGGCGGCAGTAAGAATTGCGCGCTGTTACTTTAATGGTTTCACTTTCACGTGTCTTTTGGTCCTTATTACAAAATGAGGGTTAATATGAATAATCACTAAACACCGCGTTTAACACCTATTTAACCCTTAAAGCGCTCACGTTAAGATGACTTTAGATGTGTGCGCTCCTCTGCTCGTCACAGTGTGCGAATGAGACCAAGCGCAGACCGCATGCTTCTGACTGTCTACGCGCCACACACACATAAGGATGCGGTCTTTCACGCTTTTAAGAGCAACAAGTGAGGACAACTGGAAAGGGGGCGGTAAATAATGGAATAATCGTTTATCTCGATTAATGACTTTTTAATAATCGTTAGAAGCCGAAATCGAAATCGGATTTTCGATTTATTGCACAGCCCTAGTTCAGTGTGGGTTAATAATCGCTACTGAGAGTCCAAACACTGAGGAGCAAGTTATTGTATAACGACCTTCTTGCTGTGAGGAGACAGCGACTGCGCCACTGCCTCGCCGAAAATTGTGTTTGAAAAATTAAAAACTGCTTTTATTCTAGCCGAAATAAAACAACTGAGCCGTAAACAAACATCATTTGGGAAATATTTGAAAAAAAAGAAAAATTTCACCTTCAACTTTAAATCTACACACAAAAATGACTTTTTTTGCTGCTTGTTCAAACTACTTATTTAAAATGAGTTGAAACAACACAATCCTTAAGTTTTTTCGGGTCGACAACTTGATTGTTTTATGTTCAATTGACCTAAATTTGTAAAAGCGATACATTTAACTTGAACAGTTTGTGTTGGGTCAACATCTTGAAATTCTGTGTGGTGTAATTTACACCTTAGGATTGAAACATGCCATTAATTTGTGTGCACGAAAGTGGGACAGTTTGCAGATGATGAACTTTTGGTGAGCTCTCCTCCCTCAGTGTCTTAATGTCAGACAGAATGAGATCAGAGATGTTCTGCTGCCACCGATCTGCCACGTTGATTGGGTTTTAATGGAAATCTCCACATGCACAAACAGAACCGTTGGTGATTAGAGGGAAATCAGTGATGTGTCAGTCTGAGCTCATTCTGTGTCTGGCTCTGATTTGCAGACAGTGCAGAGAAGAAGGTTCCTGCCATGCCCGGTTCCCCAGTGGATGCAAAGACTCATTCCAGACCGACCGTCTCCGTCATGCCACCGCTGCCCTCCGTCAACCCCAGCGGACCTCGTCCCGCAGCCTTCTCCACTACTGCATGTGAGACTCACACACACACTTGTATAGCTATCTTTATGGGGACTTCTCTTAGCTGTAATGTTTCTACTGTACAGACTGTGTATTCTTTACCTCCAAAACCCAATCCTCACAAGACACAATCTGCAGTTTTACAAAACTCTGTGTGATTTCTGAGCTGATTTCCTCATGTGGACAAAAAAATGTCCCCGTAAGGTAGAAAAAAAATACTGGTATTGCTATACTTGTGGGGACATCTGATCCCTACGACTTAAAGAATACAAAGTACAAACACACACACACACACACACACACACGCACACACACACACGTTTGTTTTTGTGAAAAGTGGGGACATTACATAGGTTTCCATTCCTTTTATACTGTCCAAACCGTATATTATATTGCCCCCACCCGACCCCACCCCTAAACCCAACCATCACAGGAGACTGTGTGCAGCTTTACTCTCTGATTAAACTCATTCTGTAGGATTTATAAGCATTTTGAGAAATGAAGACGTCACCAATGTCCTCATATTTCACCTTCTTTTTGTAATACCTGTGTCATACCCATGTCACTATACAGATTTGTGTCCTGATATGTCACAAAAACATGTACAAACACACACACACACACACATGCATGTTATCTTCACCCCAAATGCTGCAATTTTTAACAAAACATAGCTTTGGAACAAGATTGAACTATTTTGCATCTAAAACATGCCTGTCATCTTGAGAATACAATGCTTTTAATGCGCATAGCGCATTGTGTATGGGATTGCATGGCTGAGACTGCAATATGCAAGTCTGCAGCCAGATTCCTTTGGTTATCTTCACGATACGTGACAAAATTCTGCAGTTCTTCACATAAACTTGAATCCTTCAGTTCTGTATTTAGATAAACTATAAAAATGTTGCAATTCCTATTAAAATAGTGCATGTTAAACTGTATGTACTACTGTATATACTATGTGAAACAATATTGATTTGCATCTTACATGTAATATAAAGTAGCTGACACTGTTATGTGTCACATAGATGGATGAAACATACCATAATACTTTCACCATTGTCGTAGTAGTCAATAGTCCTCAATATGTCCAATAGACCTGGTTGCTTTTTAAATTTTTTTTTTATTTCCAGTTTGATGAAGTTTGATTCTGAATATAATCATGAAAGTGATTATATCCATATTTAATGAGGCCATGCGATAACACTGTGCTGGCATTTTCAGTGTGGCACAATGCGTTTTGTTTGCATGCTATTAACAATTTAAAATATGAAGTACAGTCACTGGCCACTTTATTAGGTACACCTGTCCAACTGCTAGGTAACGCAACTTTCTAATCAGCCAATCACATGGCAGCAACTTGATGCATGCAGACATGATCAAGACGATCTGCTGCAGTTCAAACTGAGCATCAGAATGGGGAAGAAAGGGAATTTAAGTGACTTTGAACGTGGCATGGTAGTTTGTGCCAGATGGGCTTTTCTGAGTATTTCAGAAACTGCATCTATAGGGTTTACAGAGAATGGCCTAAAAAAAGAGGAAATGTCCAGTGAGCGGCAGATCTGTGGGCGCAAATGTCTTGTTTATGCCAGAAATCAGAGGAGAATGGCCAGACTGGTTCCAGCTGATAGAAGGCAACAGTAACTCAAATAAGCACTCGTTACAACCGAGGTCTGCAGAAGAGCATCTCTGAACACACAACACGTCCAACCTTGAGGCGGATGGGCTACAGCAGTAGAAGACCACACCGGGTGCCGCTCCTGTCAGCTAAGAACAGGAAACTGAGGCTACAATTCACACAGGCTCACCAAAACTGGACAATAGAAGATTGGAGAAACGTTGCCTGCTCTGATGAGTCTCCATTTCTGCTGACACATTCGGAGGGTCGGGTCAGAATTTGGCATCAACAACATGAAAACATGGATCCATCCTGCCTTGTTTCAACGGTTCAGGCTGGTGGTGGTGGTGTAATGGTGTGGGGGAGATTTTTTTGGCACACTTTGTGTCTATTAGTACCAATTCAGCATCAACGCCACAGCCTACCTGAGTATTGCTGCTGACTATGTCCATCCCATATGAGCACAGTGTCTCCATCTTCTGACGGCTACTTCCAGCAGAATAACGTGCCATGTCATAAAGCGTGAATCATCTCAGACTGGTTTCTTGAACATGACAATGAGTTCACTGTACTCAAATGGTCTCCACAGTCACCAGAGCTCAATCCAATAGAGCAGCTTTGGGATGTGGTGGAACAGGAGATTGGCATCATGGATGTGCAGCCGACAAATCTGCAGCAACTGTGTGATGCTATCATGTCAATATGGAGCAAAATCTCTGAGGAATATTTCCAGCATCTTGTTGAATCTCTGCCATGAAGGATTAAAGCAGATCTGAAGGCAAAAGGGGGTCCAACCTGGTACTAGTAAGGTGTACCAACTAAAGTGGCCGGCGAGTTTATATGCATCAAAATCTGTACTGCATTTATCCTTTATTTACAGTTCGTAATAACATGCAACTTTCGTAAAGCTGCTTTGAAACAATAGTTATTGTGAAAAGCACTCTACAAATAAGCTTCAGTTCAAATCAAAACTGAATTTCAATGCATTTTGTTTGCATACTATTACAAATAAATGACAAATATTGTGTAATTTCTCAGTGTCTGACCTCACTCTCTCTTTGTTTCTGCAGTAACCAATGGGATCAATCATTCCCCGCCGATGCTCAACGCCATTCCCTCTCCTCCTCAGCGCTATAGCAACGGCCCTTCCTCATCATCCTCCTCTTCCCTGGCCAATCAGCAGCTTCCGGCCACATGCGGCGCTCGACAGCTCAGCAAACTCAAGCGCTTCCTTACCACACTGCAGCAGTTCGGCAATGACATCTCGCCTGAGATCGGAGAGAGCGTCCGCAACCTGGTGCTGGCGCTGGTGGTGGGTTTCTCACCTGTGTGTGTGTGTGTGTGTGTGTGTGTGTGTGTGTGTGTTTCCTGGAGTCTGCTTATATGTGAACAAGTAATTTAACCAATGATTCCTGTCTGTCTCCTGCAGAACTCCACCGTCACCATTGAAGAGTTTCACTCCAGACTGCAGGAAGCCACAAACTTCCCACTGAGGCCCTTCGTCATACCGTTTCTGAAGGTAAATGACTAGAAAACTAAAACTAAACCAAAACATTGATTAAGTAATACCGAATTTGGTAATACTGGTATCCATGAAAGTGTTTTATTAGATTTTTTTTTATATTTAACCCTCAAAGACTCAAACACAGACAAAGATCTCCTTTTTTGACCTTGTTTTTAATTATTGAAAATGTTATATTGTAACAGCCCTGCAGGCACATGACGTCATATTGATGTTGTACCCCAACATCGTGGGGGCGTTGGATTTTATTTGCAAATAAACCGAAATAAATAAATAAATAAATAAATGTTGTCAATGGCCAACAACCAACCTAAAAATCAACCTAAAATCAACCGAATATCATTGTCTAATCATGTTACACCTTGACGTTGTGTGGACGTTGTATTTTGGTGACTATCTAACACAACCTAAAATCAACCAAATATCAGCAATTTGACTTCAATATTGAACGTCCAAATAACGTTGTGCTTGCTGGTTAGACATTGAATTTTGGTCACCTGTCATCACGACCTAAATCTAACCTAATGTTAACGTCTTATGATGTTGTGTGCCTGCTGGAAGTTGATCCATGAGCAGGGCCAGACGGAATCTGCGGACGTGTTTTGCTATTTCTGCAGAGAATTTTGGTAAAAATCTTCGGATTTCTGCAGAATTATTTTGGGAGTATCATAACTAAAACCTTAATATATGAAATAAAAATTTATAAATTACTGAATAAAAACTGAATAAATTTATATTTACACATTTACTCAAGTAAATAAACAGAATTAATGATGGGCTAAAATCTGCAGAATTCTGCGCGCACAGATTCCGTGTGGGGCTAGCCATGAGATAGCAGTAATCTACCTTTATATATTAACTTGCCTAATAAATTAATAAATAAAATATTAATAAATAAAATAAAAGGAGTTATTAGAAATAACTCACTAAAAGTATTATATTTAAAATTGTGTTGAAAAAAATTCTCTCCATTAAAACGTTTGGGAAATATTTTTACAAGAATTAAAATGTTATAGGAGGGGTATTAAATCTGACGTCAATTGTATGTTCAAATATGTTAGCTATAGTTTTAAATATATGTTTATATTCAATGACTCATTTGTGAACCAAGATTCACTGATTCATAAATTGGTTGGACTGATTCAATTCTAAATCAAAGAAAAAGAATCACATCAAAAGAACAACTCATTTGTGAACCAGTTATCTCTGATTCATGAATTGGTTGGACTGATTCAATTCCAAATCAGTTAAAAAGAATCACATCAAAAGTATGACTCATTTGTGAATGAGGCATCACTGATTTATTAATTAGTTAGACTGATTCAATTCCAAATCAGTTAAAAAGAATCACATCAAAAGAACAACTCATTTGTGAACCAGGCTTCGCTGATTCATGAATTGGTTGGACTGATTCAATTTCAAATCAGTTAAAACGAATCACATCAATAAAACGACTCTGTTGTGAACCAGGCTTCACTGATTCATGAATTAATTTGACTGATTCAATTCCAAATTAAATAAAAGAATCACATCAATAAAACGAATCTGTTGTGAACCTGGCTTCACTGATTCATGAAGTGGTTTGACTGATTCAATTCCAAATCAGTTAAAAAGAATCACATCAAAAGTATGACTTATTTGTGAATGAGGCATCAATGATTTATTAATTAGTTAGACTGATTCAATTCCAAATCAAATGAAAAGAATCACATCAAAAGAATAACTCATTTGTAAACCAGGCATCACTGATTCATGAATTGGTTGGACTGATTCAATTCCAAATCAAATAAAAAGAATCACATCAAAAGAACAACTCATGTGTGAACTAGACATCACTGATTCATGAATTGGTTGGACTGATTCAATTCCAAATCAAATAAAAAGAATCACATCAAAAGAACAACTCATTTGTGAATGAGGCATCATTGATTTATTAATTAGTTAGACTGATTCAATTCCAAATCAAATGAAAAGAATCACATCAAAAGAATAACTCATTTGTAAACCACGCCTCGCTGATTTATGAATTGGTTGGACTGATTCAATTCCAAATCAAATAAAAAGAATCACATCAAAAGAACAACTCATTTGTGAATGAGGCATCACTGATTTATTAATTAGTTAGACTGATTCAATTCCAAATCAAATGAAAAGAATCACATCAAAAGAATAACTCATTTGTAAACCACGCCTCGCTGATTTATGAATTGGTTGGACTGATTCAATTCCAAATCAAATAAAAAGAATCACATCAAAAGAACAACTCAGTTGTGAATGAGGCATCACTGTTAAAGTTGTACTGCTGATAATCATAACGAGTAAATGATTAAACATGATACCCAAAGAAAATAGTCTCGGATGCTTTGTAATGTTTTCCAAACCCACGCAATGAGGATGACAATTTCCGTAGTTTTTATTACTAGTACAACAAACATTTCTGTACATGATTAACCTCCTCCTGCTCTCACATATGCCGCCTGTCATTCACATTCTCGTATTATTCTCAGGCAAATATGTCAGACAACTGTGTTAACCATATGCTGAGCAGGCCCGTAAAAACCTGCAACGGTTTATATTCGTGTTTCACACTTCCGACCGCCTGGAATTCTCGGAAGTCTCAGTTTGCTCCATAAATCACCAAAGGAAATCCTAGATACTGTCCACGTTCATGTTCAAGCTTCCCTCTCACATTTTAATACCAGTATAATTCAGTTTCATCCTAGATATATTTCTAAGCATTCAAAATACCAATAATGATATGAATATGTCAGTAGTGTATATGTATATAGGTTTTTGTCCCACATAAACAGCAATACACACTGCAAATAAAAATAAAAGGTTAAATGTTCTTTGTGTTGTTCAGAAAGTGAGTAAAATCACTGGTTTGTTTGGTAGCCAATCTAAAAAAAAATTGCATAAAATGTTTTAGGAGGCTAATAATATTGACCTTTAAATACTTTTCATTTTTTTATATACAGAACAACCCTTTCCCTAACTATTTAAGCCCTTACAGATGAGGGACTAAAAAAGTAAATCTGAAAAATAAAATAAAAAACATGACACAAAATAAATAAATAAATAATGCAATGTAATGTAATTTAATGTAAAATAAATAAATAATGTAATATAAAATAAATAAATAAATAAAGTAATGTAAATAAAAACAAAATAAAGTAACGTAATGTAATGTCAAATAAATAAATAAAAATAAATAAATAAAGTCATGTAAAATAAATAAATAAATAAATAAAAATGTAAAATAAATAAATAATGTAAATAAAAAATAAATTAATTAATTAATGTAAAATAATTAAATAAATAAAAATTTAATGTGATTTAAAATAATTAAATAAATAAATAAATGTAATGTAAAATAAATAAATAAATAAATATTGCAATATAATTTAATGTGAAAAAATAAGTAAAGAAAAATAAATGAATAAGTAAATAATATAATATAAAATAAATAAAGTAAATAAATAATGTAATATAATGTCAAATAAATGATGTAATGTAAAATAAATAAATAAATAAATAATGCAATATAATGTAATACAAATAAATAATGTAATGTAATGTAAATAAATTAACTAATAAATAATGTAATGTAATGTAATGTAAAAATAAATCAATCAATTATTAAATAATGTAATGTAATGTAACTAATTAATTAATTAATGATGTAATGTAATGTAATGTAATATAAATAAATAAATAACTAATGTAATGTAATATAAATAAATGATGTAATGTAGTGTAATGTAAAATAAATAAGTAAATACATCATAAAATTCTTTTTAGAGGACACATTTGTACATCAAATTGCATTGTGTTGCATTGTAGTTACCTCAAATTACATTGGTGATAGGTTAATTAACTTCTAAATGTAAATATCTTGTAATACTTTCCACCTCTTTGGAAAGTTATTCATTTGTAGCCATGCACTGATTTTTTCCATTAACCGTTTAAGTCTCTTAAGTCCACCAAGGACCTTCTTCCATCCAATATACTGTTATCATGTTTTTGCAACCAGTAATCATATCCTTAGTACAAATAGTTTCTTTATTAAACATTACATTACATGCTCACAATAAGCACACAACTCGATGGGTATTTCTATACATCTAATATCTTTTTTAACATTTTCGCCAAGTCTTAGTTCCAAAAAAAGTCCCAAAGGAGTTGGTATGATCTCCTATTTTACCTCATTTTCTCCAACACAAAGCAACAGATGATCCTATTACATATGTAGAAATTAAGTTAAAAAGGAGTATTAAAGTACCTAATTTTTACTTTCCAATCAAATTCTTTCCATAGTAAAAGCTGCTTTCAATAGAAAAAAAATCACAGGAGGGCTAGTATTTTTTTGATCCCACTGTAAGTGTAAACTTTGGTAATTCCAATGATTAAAATAAATTTTTAATGACCATTATTTGCAATATTTTGGTATATATGATATACATATGACATATTTTATATTTGTGAAATCCAAACATGATCTTGTATCTGTCACATATGTAATCTCCATCAGATTTCTGTGTTTTCCCCTTGTGTTTGCCAGATGGTTTATTCTTCACGTTCACATTAGAGATCAAACTCACATATAAGAAGTGAACAGCTGAGTCTGTCTTGTTTCTCCTCCTGAAGTGTTTTCATACGGAGGATTTATGGTCTATTTTGTTGGGATGTTGGTGAGAACGGCGGTCTGGAGCTGTAATATTGAGCAGAACACGCGGAGACGCTGAACAGACGCCTGGAGCGAGTCTGCTTTGAGTTTGCATGCGCGCCGAGGCTCCTCTGAGTCTGTCGAGGAACCCAGTTTTCTGACCTCTATCTACACTCTTATCTGGAAAAATGCTGAAAATGTGGTGCGCAGATTTATTTAGAGAGCTTAGGAACATCCTTATGTGTGGGTTTGATTAGTGACAGTGCAGTTTAGCTGATTGTAGGATTTAATGATACTCTATATATATATATATATACACACACATATATATATATATATATATATATATATATATATATATATATATATATATATATATATATATATACATACATATATATACATATATATACATACAGCTGAAAGCAGAAATTTACATACACTGTATAGAAAGGCACATAACCATTTAAAAATAAGTCAGATGTTAATGTGACTAAACTTGTTCTCTTTTAGGTGAGTTAGGATTATTAATGTGTTTCTGCTCTGCTTAATAGCAGAATAATGAGAGATATTTGTTGAGAAATTGTTAT